TGTATCTGAAATATTCAAAAGATACTCACAATATATAGTACGTAAGCTATTATGGAAAGGCATATGCTAAGTCTTATCAGTTTTTGTAGTCAGATTTATTCCTAAATTTACTGATATTTGCTTAAGTTCCACTTACTAGACTCTGATTTTTTTCTGCAATCTCCATTCTTTTTTGGTGGATCACTTCTTGTAGAACACTCTAGGAAAAGAACAATTGCATGACGATTAAGAACATTTATTTGGAATGCTTATAATCTGGCCCAGTCCTGGAGGACTGTATGTGGCAGACAACAATGTACAAAATAAAAAAATTTAATCATAAAATCCAAAAATTAAATATAAAGGACAAATGCTCCCACTCAGGACCACTAGGAGCCAAAGGGTTGCTAAAACAATATAGGCTTGACTTGCTTACTGAATATTAACAAGGTATGGGGTGGGGAAAGAATTTCAGAAAATGGGGCTGCCATGGGCAAGTGAAATCTAGATGACTGGACTGAATGGGCAGATTCAATCCTGCCAAAGTATTGCCTAATGCATCATGGTGCTGCACCATATACAGCTTAAAAGATAATGACCACTACATTAAATGGGGCCTAGATGCCTACTGGCAACCAATGCACAACTTTAGTATAGTTCTTATTCTATACTGTCAGGGCTGTCCCAGTCTTGCTACCACATTTTGTACTAGTTGTAGCTTCCAGGTGGTATTCAAAGGCAGAGCCACCCAAAAGCACATTGCAGAAGCCCCAACAGGTTGTGATCAAGACATGAGTTACTGTGGTCATGGCATCCTAGTTCAGGTAGGGCAGTAAGTAGTGCACCAGCAAAAGCTGGGGAAAAGCTCCTGTGACCATGGCTTCTACCTGCTGCCTGAACAGGAGGTGAGAATCCAGAAGGACCCCCAAGCCATGAACCACCTCTTCAGTGGGATTATGTATGTATGAATGATCTCAATTTATATGACTTCTTATTTCAAGTTCATGACTCTGGGTGGCTAACAATAATTAATTAAGAGTAACTACTGGAACTGATATTGATTCAATGCTTACTGACACCTACAGACTTTATCAGGGTAGGATTTAATCTGAGCTTGTTTCTTCCCATCCAGGATTTCCATGGCATCTTGGCTTGGACCTGGGTGGCAATGCATAATTAAATGACACCTCACCTGAACTGACAAATAACTTCTTCCAATGGTTTAATATGGGACAGTGCTGATCCATATGGGACCCTGCATTGGAGCTCCTGTGGACTTGAAGACTCCCCCACAATAATCATCAAATGGAATTGTTCACTTGAATGAGAGCTGAACCTTACTCCCAACCCTTGGATGTGGACCAGGATACCATGCTTAATGTTATCAAAAGGTGCTAATAGCTCTAACAAGACCAAGAAGGGTGTATTCCCCACATCTAGGTCTTGGTGAAGGTCTACCAGAGCAAACAATTCTGTATTTGTCCTATTAATGAACCCGAATCCAAACTGAAATCTATGTTGTACTTAGCTTGTGATATGTTTTAAGAGAGTCTTCTATTTTCATTTCACTTTAGAATATCTTCAATTTTAATCACACATTTTTTTCTTCCATAATATGAAGGCATTTCTAGGAAGGCTAAATAAGGTTTGGTTTCACACATCACAGTTAGCTATAATATGGTTTGTAAAGTAACCTAACCCTATATGTGAACCCAGCCAACTACAGTTTATTCAACAAACCAAGGTTAAAAATATTATTTTTACAATAATGCTTGAACCCAGCTATTATGAGCATATGAGCCATATAGAGAAACAGAAGAGCTTGTCCAATCCAACTCCTCAGAAGCAATTTATGACGGCTTTGCTAGGAAACAGGGAAGGAATAACCTCTGGACAGACTGAGTCATTGTAAGTCAGACACCTCTGGTACAAAGTAGTTATAAGAATGGGAATGGAAACAACATAACTGAAGCTAATCAGTGCATGTTTTCTAAATCCTAAACCATTAATGTGATGTTCTAAAAAAATAGCAGGTCATAATATATATTTTACTACAAATCCTCTTAAGTTGTTATGTAATGGAAGAGCTAAGTACAGCACAGATTGTGCACATCAAGTGGACTCTAGTAAGAAGGATACATACTGTTTTCTGCCGATATTCTTGGTTGAGTTTTTGCTGCAGTTCTTGAATATCTTGAGACAGCTCCTTGAACTCTACTTGCTGGTCTGCAGGAACAGTACTGAGTAGATAGAAATAGTGCTCAGCATAGAGAAAAATGGATTTGATATGTAAATATAACATATAATGTATATATCATTTCACTTATTAGAAAAGCTGCTTCTTTTTCATGAAGCTACCTGGCAACCTTAGGTTCTGCAGTAATATAAGAGGATATTTACTGTAAATTTTTAGAAAAGTATATTAAAGGAATAGTCTTTCTATATGTATTTGCTCAAACAAATTTAATTCAATAAGCAAAATAAAAATTGTTAATTTGGAAAGGATGGAACTTACAGAGAGCTTGCATGAAAATAGCAGGGGAGGTAAACAATGATTCGACAGACACAAAGAAGCACATAGCCCCTTCTCATCAACCCAGGCCACATCTACACAACCACTTTGTGTGTAAAGAGAACTCAACAGATATTTGCATCTAAAGTGGTTATTGGAGCTCCAGAGACTTGGCCCAAGAAAAGCACAATCTCATTCCTTTTTTAACTGAAGGCAAGTCCCTATATTATTGGGGCTATATTGTAGAAACTGAACAAATTCAGCTCCAATAAGTCATTGTGAGAATGTGTCCTTCCCAAAACCATTTCAACCATGCTTCCCATTGGGAATGACAGAAAAGATAAGAAGTACCCTACCCACTAGGAGGTATGAGCAGATTTCCCTACCCACTAGGAGGTATGAGCAGAAGTACATGTAATGGAAAAGCTGGAGGAGAAGGAATCTCACTGACTTCTTCCTTGGGAGAAATAAGCCAAATTTGAGAAAGAAAAGAAGCGTAGAAAGAAATATCTGTTCCCTTCCTCTGACCGTGCCCTGACCCATTACAATGTCATGTAGGCTTTAATTTCATATTATAGCACTTACTACAGATAAATATAATCTCCATAAAAGACCAGAAGTAATCAAGAGCAAGCCTACAGAAAAACTGTCCAAATTTTTTTCCTTATGAGAAGTACTTCAAAAAAAACTCATTAAGAGCACCTAGTTATCTGTTCCAGGGCCAATTTACAACACTCCCTGTAACAACATGCAAGGCTCAATCTTTGGCTCAAATGCCTTCCCTCATTGACAAGATAATCCACATGAAAAGCATATAAATAGAATTCAGACATGCATACTCCAAATGGTATTACAAATTCTATGCCGGATAGGAGAAGGCACAGTCTTATGAATTGATTTTCAAATAATAATTTTAATATGAAGTACTCATTCAATAGTTATCTTACTCCAACTTTTCCAGCTTCAGTGTCGCATCCTGGATTGCCATCTGAAGTTGTTGCTCTTTTTCCATTGCTGATTTCTTTGAAAAAGAAAAACTTACATTACATGCAATTCAACATAGAAAAATTGCAACTGGCTATAAAAAGTGAAATTATACTAGTCAGAATATATTCTTCTGCTGAGCTGCAAATCAGGCAGTAAAAGCTCCAAATTTTGCCACACAGTTTGAACCAACAATAGTGGCTACTAATAAATGAAAACTGGATACGTCTCCTAGATTAATTAAACTAGAGAGGAAAGGGAGACAAATGTCACTTTCTTAATGGCAGCAGTTCCACATCGCAAAAAGCTTCTCTTGTTCTTCAGCAGATCAGAATATCAAATAGATGAATGCTTTTTAAACCTGGAAATAGGAGGACTTCCAGTAGAATGATTCAACCTTGAAATTTTTAGAGGTACAGGTAGCCCTTTCTTAACGACCATTTGTTTAGCAACCTTTTGAAGTTATGATGGCGCTGAAAAAAGCTACTTACAACCAGTCCTCACACTTACGACCATTGCAGCACCCATGGTCACATGATCACCATTTGCGACCTTCCCAGGTGGCTTCTGGCAAGCAAAATCAATGGGGAACTGCATGATTCACTTAACAATCACATAATTCACTTAACAACCACAGTGATTTGCTTAATGACCTCTGCAAAAATGTTGTAAAATTGCATGCAGTCACATGATGCCTTGCTTAATGACTGCCCTGCTTAATGATGAATTTTCCAGTCCCTATTGTGGTTGTTAAGCAAGGGCTACCTGTAAGGGTTAACTGAATTCCATCATCCCATTTAAAACAAGTGGTAGTTGCCAATGAGTTTTTTGGGGGGAAAGGGAAGGGAGAAATATAGTGTTAAACTGGGTATCTTGTTATTTTAAAACTGAATTTGTCAGTCTTGCTAAATCAAATTAAGCTTAAATTTAATTAAGATTAAATTAAGGAATACTTGTAATATGATTATTCCAGATGTACTCTGCCATATTAAAATGTAATACGATAGGAATTTTTGGAAGCTCCTGACTGTGTCTAGATGTATAGATGTGCATCTCTACTACAGGTGATCCCACTACAGTAGTGCCCTTAACCAAGAAGCCAGACAATTCTTAGCGGTAGAAAAACACTTGAGTTTCTCTTCTTCATTGGAAAAGGCAATATATGACAGCACTGTATCGCATCTCAGAATAGCTCTTTCAGGCAAGAGTGTGCAAGTCGTTGCAAACTTTTCACTTGAATATTGCGTAAATGGAGGCAGATGCATCCTTCTACTAATAATGACAGACACCAAAATCAAAGCTCAAGCCATCTTTTTTCATCAGGGGAGGTAGTGATCACCATCACCATTTCCTTAGAAAATTTTGAGTGGTTGCCTCCTCGATCGAATGAATGGCAACAGTCTCTGCAATTATGCCATTTCCAATATTACAATCACTGTCAAAACCAGCAATTCAAAGTACACTTAAAACCTTTTTGTTTCAAATGCTTTTAATTTGACTACATAAATGATCACTCAAAGAATATTCCTTAATAGTCTAAAGGCACCTTTCTTTGCCAAATTCTCATTGTAATTAAACTGATAGGAGATTAGAATGCTGACACATCTAAAAATAAATATTATATCCTATCCCAGTTACATCAGGGCCTTTCTTCTTTTTATTATCATTCAGCTTGTGAAGTGTGACATGACAAGTTGTGGAAGTACCTAATCAAATATTTCACAACACAGATTTAGGGCTACAACAGTTAATCTAGAGAAATGCCAAGGAAATACCCCACTCCCTTAGGAGAAACATAACTGAAAGATAATCACTGGTTCTAAAAAAAGATTGCGTAAACATAAAAATGTCAAAACTTGAGAACCTTGGAATGTTCATCCTAAGTTACTAAGTCCTACTGACAGTGCCTAATTCTTAATTCTGAACACATACATGCAATGTATATACATGCAATCTATATGTACTCTCAGAGCACTGCAATAAATACATAGCCAAATCATAGCACTCTTCTTTGCTTGTTCATATACATGTTTATGGATGTTATCTGGGGTGCTTTTTAACTGTCTGGCCCCATAACAGAAATAGAAAAAGAGGTAGGCTCCATGACATTTCACCAAAGCCTGAAAAAAACTGATATAGCAGTCTGTTCCTATTGCAAATAAATCTTATTGACAGGGAGTACTACTTAATTTCTCTACCGCCAAAGCAAATAATCAGTAGCAAGGGTGACTGAAGGGACTATAGGTCATAAAGTTGTAAGACTGGATTTTCTGAGTCATTGTGGCAAGTAACACAGAACACTAAGTTCAAAGATTGTGCAAAGAATGGCTTGTTTTACCCATGAGTTGTTGAACAAACTATAGTGACCTGGTTCACATGTAACACTACCTCATCAATCATAATTTACAAATCATAATGACTGGGTTACATTTTGTTAAGTTCAATTATCTTAAAAAGGTATGAAAAGTACATTGTGTCTTGCATGTTCAAAGACAGCCAAATTCTGCATGATTATCTGACTGAAACTTGATGTATCTTTGAGAAATCCAGATAAAATAGCAGGTGACAAGAGTCTTCAAAAAGGGAGAAGCAAAGTCTTCAAAAAGAGAGAAGCAAAGAATCCAGAGAACTATAGATCAATCAGCCTGATATCAATTCTTAGGAAGATTTTGGAATAGATCATACATTGCTTGATCTGTAAGCAAGCACTCTGAAAACAATGCAGCAATTACCAAAATCACCATAGATATTTCAAGAGCAAATCTTGCCAGGGTATCCTTCTCATTTTTTGATAAATTAAGAACCTTGGCAGCTTGTGAGAATGCTGGAAGCATAATACATCTTGATGTCACCAAAACATTTGAAGCACTCCATACATTTTGATTAATAAGATGTAGTGGATAGCAGCTAGATGGCAATGACAATTAAATGGATACATAGCTGATTCAAAAATCATATTCAAAGAGTGGTCATCTAGGGAGTCTTCATCAAACTGAAATGAGGTATTGAGTTATGTGCCACAAGCTTCTCTCTGAGGCCCATATACTTCAATACTTTTATTAATGTCTTGGATGAAGAGGTAATGTTTATTAAATGTGCAAATGATGCAAAACTTGGTAGGCTAGATAAAACTCTAGAAGATTTCAAAACTACTTTAGCATATCTGAAAAATATGTTGAAACTTACAGAAAGGAATTTAGCATTTAATAAATGCAAAGCTCTTCACCTAGGAAAACAAACAGAATGTATAGATATAGGATAGCTTGGCAATGGTACTTGTGAAAAAGATATTGGAATAGTAGCTGTCTGCAATATGCTGTAGCTTCAAAAAGGGTGAATACAATTTTAGGTTGGATCAACAGTCACTTCTGAATCAAGGAAAATAGGAGTGCTGCATTGGTCAGATTCCAGTCAGTATTGTGCCAAGTTCAGGACAACAGTTGTAAGGGTTTAGATAAGCTGCAACAGGTCCTAAGCAGCGATGATCAGGGAACTCAAATGTAAGTCCTATAAAAAGAGTGAATGAATTGAGAATATTTTGAGATTGAAGGAAAATTTGATAGCACTCTGGAAATACCAGAAAAGCTGCCACACAGATCAATACCTATTCTCTATCATTCCATAGTACAGGGCATGGAATAACAGATTCAAACCACAGGGAGGGAGATTCTGATTAAGAATTATAGCTGCAAGAGTAAATTGACAAGGGACTTAATTACTTAGAGATTTGGTGGGCTCCCTTTCATTTGATGTATTCTAGTGGACGCAAGACAGCTGAGGATGCTTTAATCCTTTAAGACAGCAGCCAGACAGCATACGAAGCCAACAGCTCTTGGTTTTAAGACTGATGAACTAAGGATTAGAACCTAGCCCCCCCCATTTAACCCCCCCCGTGTCAGTGGAGAACCGTGGGGTCCCTCCAGTGTGAGTCTGGGACTCTCTCCTGGGAGTGAGTCTGGGAGTGCATGACGATATTAGGATTCACCTCCTGGGTGGGAGATAGGTGTGAGGGAGTGGGATGCCCGCTCTGCTGACTAGTGAGAGGTCGTGCAGGGGGGTAGAAGGTGTGAGGGAGTGTAAGGTTTGGTGGGGGTGAGTCTTGGATAGGATCGCACCTATGCGACCTCTCTTGCCACATTGGCCCCGACACTCCCTGTGGTTTACAGAGGAGTTGAGGGTGCTGAAGAGGGTCGAGATGTCTAGAGTGCTGCTGGAGGAAGACAAAGGCCAAATCCAACTGAACATAGGTTAGAGCTGCTATCAAGGCCTACATTGTGGCGATAAGAGTGGCAAAGCGCCAATACTTCTCCGCTCTTATCACGTCCGCAGAATGCTGCTCGGCGGCCCTGTTCAGGATCACTAGGTCCCTCCTTGGTAAGGGGGATGTTCATTTGCAGGGCTGCTTGGAGGAATTTTCAGAGCATCTGCAGGACAAAGTCACTTGGATTCGTTCCAAGTTAGACTCTGAACATGGGGCAGGGTCTGGGGAGATAGCGGGGGACCGTTCTTACCCAGTTATCTGGGAACAGTTTGATCCTGTTGATCCTGAGGGCTTTGAAGACCTGGTTCTGCCACTTGGCCTGGGGTGGGGAGGGAATACTTCAAGCG